AGAGCCAGGCCTCCGCTGGTGCTGCTATGTTCGTGGTCAGGGTTTCGTGACCAGATTCGTGCTGTGAGAGCACAGACACAGCAGGTTTTCGTGATCAGATTCATGAACTCAGCAGGTTTTCGTGACCAGATTCGTGCTGACAGTGCGAGAGCACAGACATAGCACTCATGAACTCAGCAGGTTTTCGTGACCAGATTCGTGCTGACAGTGTGAGAGCACAGACATAGCACGAGTGGCGGCTGGCCCCACAGCGCGTGCACCCTCGCGGTTGAACGCGTCCGAAGTCCCTCTCACATGCATACAAGTCCGGCAGTAATGCGGCCAGATACATTGACGATAGTGCTAGTGCGAGTACGCCCTGGGTCTCCTGCGCCCAAATTTGTAATGAATTGGTGTGAATGGCGTTCGATATGTGTGCGTAATCAAATGAGCAAAGTTTCTTTGTCAAAAAAAAAAGAAGAAAAATTGCGTTCGAGAGATCCAAGTCCCGTAGGCAGATGCACTCGTTTCGTTTTCCTTTCGTGTGCCGTATGGCGAGGTCCTAAGTCAACGTAGGCATAGCTTGAGCATGCTCTCAGGCCGCACTCACACTACCAGGGGCCTCGCTCCACTACTTTCGACATGCACAAAAGACAAAAATCATGGCGGTGTATCTTTCCATGTTCTGGCGGGAGATTCACTCCCGTTTCCCACATTTCTCGAGTGGTGGAGCGAGGCCCTAGGATCCCCCTATAGAAATTATCTACCAAAAGCAAGCTCGGATCGGCTGTGAACAGGCATACTGTGTGGGTATGCTCTGAGCATAAGGGCATACTCAGGCTATAGGAGTTCTTTACTTTTTACTTTTTTTTTCTTTTTTTTTTTACTAAAAAAGTAAAAAATATTCTTATTAGAAGGGCCCAGTGCCCAAGGCAAATTACATCACCACAGTAGCCAATAACAAGGACAGCCGGGCTCCCGGTGGGGCGGGGCTATAGGAGTTTTTTTTTTTTTTTTTTTTTTTTTTAAAGCGGGCCCTGTGCCCAAGGCTGATATTATGAATAATGCCGGAAAACGGCCCGGCGTCCCTCACAAAAGTTGAACAGCCCGAGGCTTGCTCCCTGCTACTCCGGCCGGGTGCAAGTCCAGGCTGCCGAAATCACAACAGTTCTAACATCGCGAAGATTTACACCGTAATCCTAATGTAATGTAACCTTGGCAGAGGCACCAGCAAGTCTACCCTACTGTACTAGGGGCCTGAATTTGTGAACCACCACAAGATTCCTCAACCACGAAAGATAAACTGTAATCCTATTCTTGGCAGTAAACAAATCGTCATTTCCCAAATAATGTGCAAAAATTTCAGAATACAACCAACGTAAAAAACCCCGCGTTCAGCAACAGTTAATAAAAAAACAGAATCCCTATTTTACTCTAGGTATTGGAACGGTTTTCAACAAAGCTATTGGCAAGTACCACTACCACAAGAATCTCGCGAATCTTTCCGTTTCGCACGATTCGCAAGAAACCCTAATAAAACAACAATCAATTAACAACTCACTCCCACGCAAAACAAAACAGAGATTGCCAACGAAGAAACAAAACAAGACTATGACTAACACGTTCACTATCTATTCACGACCAACATAGTACTCGCCGATTTCGCCGCGGGCCGCCCTTGATTGCTCACAGGCGGGATGTTCCCACGACAGCTCCATCCCACGCAAAACAAAACAGAGATTGCTGACGAAGAAAACAAAACAAGAATATGACTAACACGTTCACTATCTATTCACGACCGCCCTTGATTGCTCGCAGGCGGGATGTTCCCACAACAGCTCCATATCAAGACCGAAGGCCACAGCCCTCAATCAGTTGCAGAAGGTATATGAATCAGTAGAACCAGCTGAAACTCTGGTRTAATCGCGATACTCGGATCCCGCCCGTCGAGCGTCCTCACATCAGCCACAGCCGCCATCCTTCCGCGCCCGATCAGGATTACCGACCCAGTCGGCCGGGATKAGCCCATGGCAAGGGCTCTTCAAACCSTCTSGCASCGTGTCCCACAGTGCCCTCACACTCTAYCCCCCACGCTCCAGCCACCCCAACAACGAGCTTTGGCTAGGCACCACCATCTTTTCGGCAGCACCTGTGCGATCCCCCATTGCCCAAGCACCGCCCCCGACGACGCTAACACCGAAGCGGTGTAGCGGCATCTTCAAAAATTCCAAGACGGGCTTCGAGCGCTAACGCAACGCAACGCAGCGTGCTGCGTTACGCTGCGTTAGTGCTCGACGACTATAGCGCTAGCAATTTCGAGCTGGCCGCTAATGTGCCTGCCTTTGTGTGTGTGTGTGTGTGTGTGTGTTTTATTTTTTATATTTTTTTTATTTTTTATTTGGACCATTTCTCGATTTATGCATGTCATCCTTGCGCAGGGGCCATGCTAATCTTCTTTCTCTGCATCGTTCCAATTTAACGGATGTCCCGAAGGACCCCCGTCCATTCTTTATCAAATCAATATGGCCCTACGTAATTCTTCTTTTTTTTTTTTCCCTGGAAGGGAGAATGGGGCTAGCCACGCTCTGCTGCAGTGTAATACAGAGGCAACTCAGAGGGGTCGAGTAGGCAAGCCTACCCATATGACCCCACCGTACCCCCAAAAAATTAATTTAATATCATGTGGCCCTACGTAATTCAGAATGATACAACAATTCCATTCATCATCAAAGAGTCCACCAAGGTTCGAACTCTGGTCTGGGCACTCTGATCTATATGTCCTGATGGCCAGAGCTACGGTAGTCGTATAGTGTTTATACTAACTTTATAGTGTGAATGAGTGACTATACCCCTTTTAGGACAATAGATAACATAATGAGGTGCGACTACACTCTATTTCACCGAAAATAGTCATCCCGCCAAACGGAATTGCATCCAGCGCGGCAACGTGGTGCTAGTGAAAGCATGGGGGCGCGCGCGCCCGCCCGTGCTTCATGAATCAATGAGCTGCGAAAGAGAGAGGCCGCGGAAGAGCTGAGGTGAAACCAGGGGAGCCGCGCCGTCTGACTGCATCTCGACAGATCTGGTCTAGATGCATTCGAGATGGCGGGTGGCGCTGTGGCAGGTAGTGCACCCAGGCCCTAAACCTACGAAAAAAGAAAAAAAAAAAGTCCGAGGGTTCACGGAAGCGCGAACCCAGCCTCCCCCGCCAACCTCATGTCCGATTTGGAATACAACACGGGTGACCTGGGAATTTATTTAAAACAACTTTAATGAATCGATGAAATTATTATGAAGGTAAATTATTCTGAAGGCATAGCAATGAGTGAAAGGAGAATTATACCTTTCTCGGCCTTTTGGCTAAGATCAAAGTGTGGTTTACTTAAAAAAAAAAAAAAAAAAAAAAAAGTGCGGTATCTGTGCTGATCGAGTTCATATCT